CGACCGGCTCTTCTCGGGGGCTGCACAGGTGTTCCTTCAGCTAGATGTTCCCCATAGATGTTCCCCATAGATGTTCCTGGTGCATGCCGTCTCTCTCCTCCTTTATAGTCCTCCTCCGCCAATCCTAACTCGGCTGCCCACACGCCGAGTACGCTGCTCTCCTCCAATCAGGAGCAAGTCCTACAGTTTATTAGTTGAACTGGAGGCAGCTGTGCGGAAGCTGTTTACTTCTCTCCCAGCGCCATATTGTGGGAGAGCAGATGCATAGAATAAGTCTTAATTCCAGTAACTCAGTCCAGTCCGGATTGCTCCCCACAGAGGGTCGCTTTATGTCTGCATCCGCAGGGCAGGGTGCAGGGGGGCTCCCCAGATCTCCAAGTGGGGACACGTGACTGGCCCTTGGCCACCTCACTTCTTGATCGGCAGGCTCTCCTTGGAGCCACTGGGCTGATGATGATGATGATAATGAGGATGATTTTTACTTAGAGCGAGCTCTCGCCCATGTGCTGGTTCACTCCCCCATACACCTGCAGTGACCGAAGCTTGGAGCTCATCTGGGGTCTCCCACATGGTAACAGGGACCCCGTTACTTGAGCTGTGACTGCCGCCTTCCAGCGTTCACATCAGTAGGAAGCTGTGGTCAAGAGCTGGAGCCAGAAATGAAGGTCAAGTTCTCCTGTGCCGGCGATGGTGTCTTAAGCACCAAGCCAGAGGAGCCAGGGAAGGGGCCATTGGAGGGAGGGAGTGGCAGAGCCGCACATGGCTATCTGGTGGGGAGACCCGGGATCCTAGCATGGCCAGGACAGTTCTGTTTCTGACGGATGAACCGTACCGAAGTGCATCACACCTGTAGCCCAGACTTCTTGCTTAGATGTGCAATTGTTGGTGGACTCGCAGCCCGGCTGTGGTGAGCCTCACAGCTTGGTGTTCATTAATGTTTGAAATTCTTACGGGATCTTTGCCGGGACTCTCAGCGTGGGTGTTCACTGTGCACTTGGAAACCCGAGGAGTATGGCAGGGCAGATGGGGGGTGGGGGCTGCATATCTGGGATTGCACAGAAGTGGCCATCTGGGCTGCCTTCCCGGGGACAGTCCTGATTCCGTGTCACCCAGCTGTAATTATTAATAGTGTCCCCTTCCTCCCTGCCAAGCGGCCTGGTTTATTTTTAAGGATAATGTCACCCCCGCCACCTGACGCGTCGCCGTCAGCAGCAACCTTGGAGGAAACACCTCCCATGTGCTGGGAGTCCTTTCTCTGTGACGGACGTGTGGCAGCCGCCACCTCAGAAACAGGGCTGAGGTGCCCAGCCAGCCCGAGGCCCCGCTGGGTGGACTTGTTGGGTTTTCCCTCCGTTTTGGTTTGGTTTTGAGCAGTGTGCATGTTAAGCATTTAGGCAAGTGTGAAGCATTTGTGTGTGTGCCCTAATGTCGGCCCGTTGGAAGCCATCTTGTTCTCGACAGAGTGTAAGGTTTGGAAGGGACACGGGAGACGTGCGTCCTGTTATTTTCACTTGGCTGCCTTCTAGCGACATCTCTTCTCCACACAGACTCGCACAAAGGAGTGGGCATGTGTCCCACAGCCCTGTAATTAAAGCGTCATCGCCAGTTGTTTATGAGTCTTGGGTGTCATGGTGACATTTAAGTTGCTTTACCAAAACCAAGGATGGGGGCTGGTGTTGTGGCAGGGTGGGGGGTAAGTCACTGCCTGTGACGCCACCAGCAGCCTATTTGAGCTCCGATTTGAGTCCCGGCTGCTCCACTTCTGGTCCAGCTCCCTGCTGATGCACCTGGGAAAGGCAGCAGAGGATGGACCAAGTGCCTGGACCCCTGCCACCCAGTTGGGAGACCAGGATGGAGTTCCTGGCTCCTGGCTTCAGCGTGGACCAGCCCTGGTTGCTGCAATCATTTTGGGAGTGAACCAGTCGGTAGAATGAAATCTCTCCCCCTCTCTCTCCCCCTCCCCACTCTTTCTATAACTTTTCCTTTCAAATGCATCTTGAAATACCCCAGCAGTGTACTAGGTCACCCGCCTGTGAGGGAAACATCACCTTTGCCTTCTAGCACTTGTTTTTCTCATTCCTCTTCTTTCCTTTTCGATGACACATTCTTTGGGTGTGAGGTCAGTTTAAACCTTGAGTTGTAACCTGCGGGACCACGGACCAGGAAATAGCCCCGCACCTGTCTCGCTAACAGAAGCCAAGTTGGCCCTGCAGCTCCCTGGTGTCACTACTGCAGCTCTTTTTTTTTTTTTTTTTTTTTTTTTTTTTTTTGGACAGGCAGAGTGGACAGTGAGAGAGAGAGACAGAGAGAGAAAGGTCTTCCTTTTGCCGTTGGTTCACCCTCCAATGGCCGCCGCTGCAGCCGGCGCACCGCGCTGATCTGATGGCAGGAGCCAGGATCCAGGTGCTTTTCCTGGTCTCCCATGGGGTGCAGGGCCCAAGCACCTGGGCCATCCTCCACTGCACTCCCGGGCCACAGCAGAGAGCTGGCCTGGAAGAGGGGCAACCGGGACAGAATCCGGTGCCCCGACCGGGACTAGAACCCAGTGTGCCGGCGCCGCAAGGTGGAGGATTAGCCTATTGAGCCGCGGCGCCGGCCTACTGCAGCTCTTTATATGATGGGAAGCATATCAAAGTTCAAGTTCCCCCCGCTCTCCTGGTGCAACTCACAGAGGGCAGTACTGAAGGCAGATGGAGTCGTCACAGCAATTTGTAAAGCCAGAAATTAAGTTACGTCCCAACCCACCATGTCCTTCGAGTTCCAATAGTGTTTGCACAGTGACAGCATCGGCAAAAGTCGTATTCTTCACAGTGCTCTGGATCCCTAGGTTCACGTCAATGGCAGAGACACCTACGGTTTTCCGAGGAACTGGAGGTTGACCCGAGGTTGTTAGGAAGGGCTCTCTTGGGGGGAGGGACCCATGCCCCCCTGGGAGGCTCCAACTGTTTTCAGCTCCTGGGCCCTGGGAACCAGGCTCCTAGGAGCGTCTCCCTGCAGAATGGCCCAAAAGTTGGAGCATTTCAGACAACACGCGTTCCGTGGTTGGAGCATTCTAGGCTGTGTGGCCCCAGGGGGAGGGGAGTGTCCCGGAAGCTTGGGCATGGGGTCAGTGGAGGAGCTTGGGCTGTCTGGAAACTGGGAGTCCTGGACCTGGGGCAAGAGAGGCCTGAGGCTCTGCTTTGACACTCTCCAAACAACTCAGGGAGTGCAGCCTGTCTTTGCACCAAGGGTGGGCTCTTCTGCCTGCCTTGAGCCAGCCGGGAGGGCCCCAGGCAGGGTGCTGCTGCCATCACCCTGCCCCTGCCTTTGCCGGCTCCTTCACTGCTCCATAATGGGAGGAGGGTTTGCTCTGTGCCCCGTTAGGTGACAGGAGCTGCTGTAGGCTCAGGACCTGGGATCCCCCTCTTTCTCTCCCCTCCCAGCCCCTCCCCCTCTGCCTGTGTAGACGGCCACACAACAGCTGTACAAAAATCTGACTCAGGATCCTCTGAACACACCCAAGGGCCTGGACACCGCTGACGGTTCCTTCTGGAATCTTCTGGAACCTTCCGTACGGCTGAGGCTCCTGCGGTGTTTGCCTGCAGGCGCCCAGCACAGAAGCTGTGCAAGTTTACTTCCTTCTGTAAGCGAGGTTACCAGGTGACAGTGTTCCAAAGTCACAGAGACCTTGAGCCCCAGCTCCCTGTGGTGCACTGCCTTAATCTTCTGGAAGATTCTCCACCAACCTGCTTGGTTTCAAGACAGTCTGGTCAGTCGAGGACTGTAGCTCACCCCCTGGGGACGACTGCTTTCCTTTGGGTCTGTAGGCTCTGTCCTGCAGGCGCTCCTGCATGTGTATCTTAAATGGCGTGGCGAAACACTCGGGGGACTTGCGGTCGTAACCTGGCAGCTCCCTTGCCGGAGTGGCCAGCCGGGTGGTCAGGGCGTGGTCAGCAAGCTCTCGATGGCCTTTCTTCCCTTAAATAATGGGGCCGCTGCTTGGGGAGTAGCAGGTGAAGCTAGATGCCTCCTCCATCAGAGTGCCCAGCCTGAGCCCTGTCTCTGGTAAGGATCCGCACCTGGGCAGGCAGAGCGGGTGATGGCTCAGGTGCTTAGAGACCAGGGTGCAGTGCCTGACTCCTGGCTTCAGCCTGGTCCACATTTGACAGGCATTTGGTGAGTGAACCAACAGAGGATCTCTCTCTCTCTCTCACTCGCTCTGCCATTCCAATAAATAAATCTTTTTAAAAAGCCACACGTGTGTTACTAGTTGTGGTCCGGTGTTCTTTTCTACCTGCAACAGAGCTCACGTTATTGGTTTCCCATTCTTCCCATCTTTTGTGGAAGTCGTGCCTCCTCATTTCACTTTCTGGGAAATTCGCCAGTTGGTCAAGGCCAGGGTAGAGAGCAGGATAAATATTTGTAGGTGGTTTAGAAGGAGAGAGTGAGGCACGCACGGGTCGCCGGCCATTCAGGGGTCGGCATTTTAACCGCCTTTGAAAAGTTTTTGAAGTCGTTAACCAGAGCCATGCGGTGGTGGATTGACTGCTTCGCGTTTCAGATCCGGGGTTAGGGGGCATGTTTGTGTGTGTGTGTGTGTGTGTGCGTAAGTGCGCGTGTGGGGGTCCGTGTGTGCATGAGTGTGTGGTGTGCACGGTGTGCGTGCGTCCCTGTGCTGGGGGAAGGGGAGTAGCGAAGGCGCAGGCGAACAGGGAAAACTTGGAATCGCAGCTTCCCGAGCCGGGCACTTCGCGCCACCTCCTCGCAGACCACGCGCCACAAACTTCGGCTGTGCTCGCTCACCTCTGGAGGGTGCGCGGCGGGCTGCCGGGGCGCCCCGCGCCTGGCCTCCGCAGGCACTGGGAGAGGGGCGCGGGGCCGGGCCGGGCCTCACCTGCCGGGGCCTTCCCCGCCCGTGGGCGCGCAGCGGGCGCCGCCCCCGCCTCCGGAGCTAGGTCCCCGGGGGCCTATGCGCAGGGGCGGGGACGGCCCCGGGGCACCCGGCGCAGCAGCAGCAGCAGCCGCGGCGGCGTCAGGCCTGGAATGCAGCTTCCCTGGGCGCGGGAGCCTGTTCGGGGTGGGGTTTCGCCCCGTCCCCTCCTCCCCCAGCCCGGGCCGGCTTCCAGCGCTTTCCGGGAGCATTCGGGACTGCGCCGCTCGAGTTGCAAGGAGGCGCGCGGATCCTGCGCCGCGCGCGGGCCAGGGACAATGGCAGAGCCCGAGAGCCGGGGCGGCGAGCCGCGCCCTCCTCGCTGGGCGCACCGCGCGCCGCCTGCGCCGCAGGGTGAGTGGCCGGCGCGTTCCGGGGCGCATCGCCCTGGCTATGGCTGTGCCGTGCCGCCGGGGCGCCCGCGCCTCCCGGGCCGGGGCTTGGCGGCGGCTGTGCGTCCTGCGGAGCGGGGGAGCGCCGGGGGTCTCCGGGGCTTGACTTTTCCTCCGGCAGCGGCGGGGGTGGCGCGGTTGCCGCCCGGGGAAATGGTCGGTGAGGAACTGTATCTCTGCCCTCAGACGACTCCACATCCCTCAGGCAACAGGCGTGGCACCATGTTCTCGCGAGCCCCAGCCCTGGGGAGCAGGGAGCTTTGCCACCAGGCGAGGTCGCCGCGTCCAGGGCCGGTTTTGTGTTATCTGTGGGACCTCCGCGTGATGGACAGAACCCTGCCCGTGACTTGGGGCTGTCTTTGAAAAGTTGGGAGTTGTTTGGGGCCACTTCTGGTAGGCGGTTTCTCCTTTCCACTGCGTTATTGGTCGTCTGTGCTTTCCAGGGGGGATTTCCAACAGCTTTGTGTTGTGCCCAGGACATTTAGCCAGTGGGGCTCCCAGGGCTGGCGCGGGACTCCTCCAGGGTCCATGATGCTGCCCCCGCCCCCGCCCTGAGTCAGCAGCATCAGAAACCGCCCCAGGTTCATCCAGGGGACAGCGAGGAACAAAAGGCGGTGGGGGTGCGTGCTCGGGTGCTGGGCTGTGCGTGGGAGCAGGGGCTGTGCACAGGGGAAGAGAGGGGTGTGTGTGTGTGTGTGTGTGTGTGTGTGTGTGTGTAAGATGGGAAGGGAAGTGAGCCGTGTGAGTCACCCACACTGGAAATGCAGACAGAAGCCAGACACACCCGCGCCAGCAAGGAAGGGGTCAGCCTGTGTGTTCAGAGCAGGGCACTCCGGGTAGGAGGTGGGGCGGCGGGGGGCTGGGGTCCAGAGAGGACCTGGGAGAGATGACTCCACACCCCTAGGTCAAGCCAGGGTCCTGCTGCAGGGACTCAAGGTCTGGCCTGCCCGGCAAGACGCAACCCAGAGGGACCAGCCTGGGCTCACAGGGGTTCCCAGGTGAGGCCGGGAGGGGCCAGCCTGGGCTCACAGGGGTTCCCAGGTGAGGCCGGGAGGGGCCAGCCTGGGCTCACAGGGGTTCCCAGGTGAGGCCCGGAGGGGCCAGTCTGGGCTCACAGGGGTTCCCAGGTGAGGCCAGGAGGGGCCAGCCTGGGCTCACAGGGGTTCCCAGGTGAGGCCAGGAGGGACCAGCCTGGGCTCGGTGCTCCCTTCCAGGAATGGGGAGCGTCTGTGTGGGGGCCTCCCTTGTAGCTGCCCTGAGCACAGGGCACCAAGAATACTAGGCTTCATGAACATGGATTACTTGTTACTATTTGTTTTTTATTTTTGAAAAAGTTACAGAGACTAAGGGAGAACCAGGGTAGAGGTCTTCCATCTTCTGGTTCACTCCCCAGATGGCTGCAATGGCCGGAGCTGGGCCAGGCCGGAGCCAGGAGCCAGGAGCTTCTTCTTGGCCTCCCACGTGGGTGCAGGGGCCTAAGCCCTTGGGCCATCTTCTGCTGCTTTCCCAGGTGCATTAGCAGGGAGCTGGATTGGAAGTTGGAGCAGCTGGGACAAGAAGTGGCACCCATATGGGATGCCGGCAGCAGGCTTAACCTGCTGTGCCACAGTGCTGTCCCCCGTCACTCAGCCTTTCAAATAAAAAGGGGTCGACAAAAGGGCGCTGATGGTTTGGAGTGGGGCTCCAGGGCTGCAGAGCCAGGCCAGCAGGAAACGCGTGCGCGTGCAGAAGAGCACAGCCGCGTAGTGCACCTTGCACAGTGGGTACTCTTACCTGTCGGTGGAATTTGAACCTGTGTCCCATGCCCCTAGTGGGCGGGAGCCACTCAGCGTAGTCCTGGAGCATAGGCTGTGTCTGTGTCCCTGGGATGGATGTGTCTGCCCACAGGCGCCCCCGGAGGTCTGCTTTACCTCTGAACTCTGTACAGGTGCCGTGTGTCCGCCCACCTGTCTGCCTCCCCATCCCTGGGGAATCACAGACGCACAGGGCCATGCTGGAAGTCTGCCCTAATGTAGCCCTGCAGGGGAAGCGCTGCCCGGGACGCACACATCCCACGTGGGAGTGCCTGGTGCGAGTCCCGCCTGCTCCACTTCTGACCCAGCTCCCTGCTGAAGCGCCTGGGAGGTGGTGGAAGATGGCCTAAGCGCTTGGGTCCCTGTCACCCAAGAGGGAGACTCAGCTGGAGTTCCAGGCCCCTGCTTCAGCCTGGCCCAGTCTCAGCTGTGGTGGGCATTTGGGAAGTGAACCTGCACATGGAAGATCTCTCTCCGTCTCTCCTTCTGTCTCATTCTGCCTTTCAAATAAATAAGTAAAAGTGTAAAAATAAATTAAAATAGCCCTGTTGGTATCCATCTCCTTGCTGTGTTTTGTCCATCAGCGTACTTACCACTAGGTGACATTTGTAGTGTAGGAAGAAAGTTCATTGAAAATGCATGTGAGGCCGGTACCGCGGCTCACTAGGCTAATCCTCCACCTGCGGCACTGGCACACCGGGTTCTAGTCCTGGTTGGGGCGCCGGATTCTGTCCCAGTTGCCCCTCTTCCAGGCCAGCTCTCTGCTGTGGCCCGGGAAGGCAGTGGAGGATGGCCCAAGTGCTTGGGCCCTGCACCCGTATGGGAGACCAGGAGAAGCACCCGGCTCCTGGCTTCAGATCGGTGCAGCGCGCCAGCCGTAGTGGCCATTTGGGGAGTGAACCAATAGAGGGAAGACCTTTCTCTCTGTCTCTCTCTCACTGTCTATAACTACCTGTCAAATAAATATAAAAAAAAAAGAAAGAAGAAGTAGAGCATCCACGCCTCGAAGAACCAGTGATCGGACAGGATACTGACCTCAAAGGTGGTGGCTTAACCCACTGTGCTACAACACCGGCATTTGAATTCCATAAGGAATGTAATGACCTTGGGTCAGCAGTAATTTCTGTGCCAATTTGTACACCATGGTGATTTTATGATATCAGTGGGAGACCCCCAACAGAACACATATATAGTCAGACAGGTTCATCACTGTGACAATCCCCCAACCTCGGTGCCTTTGCTTCATCAAGGTTAACCCTTCCTGGAGAGCAAGGGGAGGATTTGGGCCGGCTGTGTCCCCTGGGGGGCTCACTGGGGCTCCCCGTCCAGTCGCTGTGCCGTGCCCAGCACACCACAGGCTTCTTCTGGGTCCTTTGTGTTCATCCCGGACAGAGAGAAGACAGAGAGCATGGGAGGTCATTTGGGAAGTCCAGCGGCCAGGCGTGAAGGTGACCTCTGTGGCTTCTGCTTGCCTTGCACTGGCTGCAATGACCAGATAGATGCCCAGATAGATGGAGGGGGGCTGGAGCATGCACCTTGCTCGCATGTGCCGCCACAGGGAGTTCTGGTTCAAACACATAGACAGGTTCTGCTGTGGAAGGTCCAGAGAGGCCGGACGACCTGGGATGTTAAAAAGCTGGGTCTCTGAGCAGCTCCCCAGTAGCACCATCGAGAGTGAGGCCTGGCAGGCTGAGCCACCACCTGTGACACTGGCTTCCCATATGGGTGCTGGTTTGAGTCCTGGCTGCCCCAGTCCTGATCCAGCAGCTGTGCCTAGGAATACAGGTGAAGATGGCCCAAGTGCCTGGGCTGCTGCACCACACAGGGGCCCCAGGGGGTGTGTTCTAGGCTCTTGGCTTAGGTCTGGCCCAGCCCTGGCCATTAGAGGCCATTTGGAGGAGTGACCCCTCGGATGGACAATCTCTCTGTCTTCTTTCTGTCTCTCCCTCTCTCTGTCACTCTGCCTTTCAGATAAATAAATAAATCCTAAAAAAAGAAACAAAGTGAGGCTGCCTTCCCTGAGAGTCTATGCCCAGGGACTCTTGACCTAGGAATGAAATGTCAAGGCACCTGCGGTCAGCACCATGGCCGGCCCTTGGCAGCCAGCAGCGTGGGATGCCAGGGCTCAGCTTACCCAGGCAGAGTCGCTGGGGCCAGGCGTAGAAGCTGGCCCTGGCAGCTCCCTGGCCGGTGGGGTGCCCCACCTGTCTGTCTCTAACTTTTGCCCTCCAGCAGGGGAGCCCTCTGGGACACAGAGGCGTGTCCCTGGCCTTCCTGCCTGGACCGGCCCCAGGCATCTTCCCCAGGGGATGTTTGAAGCTCTGTTCCTAGCTTTGAGCTCCTGTTTGCTCTTTGCCCTGCAGCCCATGCAGCGGCTGGGAGGGGCAGGAAGAGGAAACAGGGCCCCTTTCTCCGGTGGGCGTGGCAGGAGCCTGGCCTTGGTGCTCCAGCCTCCGAGGGCTCCCAGAATAGCCAGCAGTGCACGCACCCGGGATTGAGTCCTAGCCCCAAAGGCGTTGCGAACAAGGAGCAGGCTTGTGTGTGTCTCCGCGTGGTGGGGTTCCTCCACCCCGGGTCATTGTGCTGTGTTGGTGTGTGTGGGGAGGGGCCGGCGGGCCTGGGCTCCGGGGCTCCACGCCTGTGGGATTCTGCCTTGGAGTCTTCCCCCGGCTCTCGCTCTGGTCCCCACCGTGCCCCAGCTTGGTTGTCCTTGGTTGTCCTGCTGGAAGACCACAGAGTCGGGGAGTTGTCACTTGTGCCTGGGCCGTGGGAGGAGCTGACCCTCAGTGGGGAGCAGGCTCAGGTGACCAGGCTGCCTGTGAGGAGGTTTTGTGCAAAGGGCGCGAGGCCGCTGAAAGCCGAGCAGGTGGCTGGGGCTGGGGCTGGGACCAGAGGCAGGCAGGACAGGGCGGGGGGGTTGGGCGTGCATGGGGCCTCCCTCCCCCACTAACTACAGGTACTTTGGTTTATATCTCAAATAGCTGCAATGGCCCAAACTAGAGCCTGGAGCTCCATCCGGGTCTTCTGCATGGGTGACAGGTGCCCAGGCACTTGGGCCGTCTTCCGCTGCTTTCCCAGGCACATCAGCAGGGAGCTGGATCAGAAGTGGAGCAGCCAGGACTTGAACCGGCACTCACGTGGGATGCTGGCGCTGCAGGTAGCAGCTTAAACCTCTGCGCCCTAATGCCAGCCTGGCCAGGGCAATGAAAAAAAAAATATTATTTTATGGGTGGTAAAAGTCATCTTAAAAATGCCGCTTAATTAGCAGTGTGAAATCCAATATACAACAGTTTGGGCTTCTATGAAATGCGTGCACAGCACTATCGGAGGATGAAGTTAAGCCTCTTTAGATTGCATTATATCAGCCTGGGGTGTGGTATTTTCTACTTGTAGCTTTGGTCCACAGATCCTGTTACTTCTGTATGACTAAGGAAGAGACCCTGGAAAAAGACAGCCTGTGTATTAGAAAGGCAGTGTCGATGGATACGCTACAGTTAGTCCCTAGCATTGCTTTAGCCGATATTTCTGCCTTCTTCCCCCCCCTCCTTTTTTTTTTTTTTTTTGACAGGCAGAGTGGACAGTGAGAGAGAGAAAGAGAGAAAGGTCTTCCTTTTGCCGTTGGTTCATCCTCCAATGGCCGCTGCGGCTGGCGCACTGCGCTGATCCGATGGCAGGAGCCAGGTACTTCTCCTGGTCTCCCATGGGGTGCAGGGCCCAAGCACTTGGGCCATCCTCCACTGCACTCCCTGGCCACAGCAGAGAGCTGGCCTGGAAGAGGGGCAACCGGGACAGAATCCGGTGCCCCGATCGGGACTAGAACCTGGTGTGCCGGCGCCGCAAGGCGGAGGATTAGCCTAGTGAGCCGCGGCGCCGGCTACCTTCTTCCCCTTCTAAACGAATTGCGGAAGCTCCCGAAAAGTAGAATTGACCGAGTCGGTGATGTTTTTCCTCCTCGGGGCCTGATAGAGAGGCTAGAATTAGCAGCCTAATGAGAAGTGAAGGGTAAGCAAGAATTATTCCCAAAACACTCATCCAGGGTGGGAGGACCGGAACAGAAAGCCAGCAGGAGGAGAATCCATTTCCTGTGCCCGCGTTGTCCAGGGTGTCTGTGCCTGGAGTTCTGGACTCAAGAGGCAAAGGAGCGGGAAACTGCTGGGGGCATTGCTTTCAGGGAACGGACTTGTAGTGGAGCTCGGGACACCTGTTGTGTTATGTTAGGAGATAGACGTTTGCTTCTGTGTCTATCTGGCTGCAAATGAGCAGAGCTGGCAAACCTTGAATCGTATTTTTCTGCACCACATTTTTAAAATTTGAGATGCAGAGCGATAGAGGGACAAAGAGGTCTCTCCTTCTGAAAGGCTCTCCGTGGCCAGGTCCAGCCCAGGTCAGGTCTCCCCTGAAGGGGTCAGCGACCCAAAGATGTGCACCATCGCTGCTGCCTCCCCGGGTGCGCGTGAGCAGGAAGCTGGAATCAGGGGCAGAGCCTGGCCTTGAACCCGTGCACTCTGCCATAGGGTGGGAGCATCCCAGGACATTCCAGGAGGCCTCTTAACCACCAAGCCAAACACCCACTCCTCTCTGCATTTCTAAAGATAAATAATTGGCCAATATATCATCATTGGGGAAAAAGATGTTAGAATCCAGTGAAATGATTTAGAGATAGAAGGCTGTTTGTATCTCTGATGCTGTTCCAGCCGCCCTTGGTCTCTTTGTGAAGAACATGAGGCTGAGAGACACAACCTTTGTGTTCTGAGGCTAAAATTGAGGTAGGAGTCCCTCGGTCCGTCTGCGTGCTTTTTCCAGGGAATCCAGTGGGCGAGGCTGCAGGAGAGAGAGAGAGAGAGAGAGAGAGAGAGTTGTTGTCCATCTACTGGTTCATTCCCCAAATGCCCCCAAAGAGCCGAGGCTGGGCTAGTCCAAAGCCGGGAGCCTGGAACTCCATCCAGGTCTCCCACGAGGGGGGCAGGGACCCAGGTACTCGAGCCATCACCTGCTGCCCCCCGAGGTGTGCATGAGCAGGGAGCTGGAGTCAGGGGCGGAGCCAGGACTTGAACCTGGACTTTCTGATGTGGGTGCAGCCTGACCGTCACACCAAATGCTCTCCTTAGCTAATTCGGCCTTTTAGGCACATGGCTGTCATTTCTCCTTGAGGTGGAGCCCTCCCACGGGTCCGGGATCCCGGAAGCAGGGCATGTACTCTAGACACTGACACCGTGCGCCTTTACTGATCCGTTCTCAGCCCGGCAAGGCTTCTCAGAGGCAGTCGCTCTGGGTCAAGGCTGTCCAACCCCCACACAGCTCTCGGCTTCACCGTGCTGCCTGGGTGGAGTCCGCCGTGGGTGAGGGGTGTCTCAGCCTCCACCTTGGACCCATGACGCTGCCCGTGACCGCTGCTGCTGTTGGTGTGTTTGCCTGGCTTCTGCCCCCCCGGGGCACCCGCCTTGCTGGGTGTTCACCTGCCAGTGAGCTGCCGTCCGCGCAGGATGACGGCTGCTGATACTTCTTGATGATGAGACGCTTGTTTCGGGTGATAGGAACATTAAAATCTGGTTACTGGAATGAAACTGTAATTAAAAGTGCAGACACAATCAGAATCACTCGAGTTAATGTTGTTATAATTATAGGTGAGCGTAAAGAGTAACCCCATTTCTTGCCCAAAACCAGTCTGGCCAAGTGCTCTTGCTTTGAATAACCTCGGGGTAGGTGTCAGAAGTTACAGAGTTGTTTTTGTTTTTCAGATTTATTTATTTATTTATTTGAAAGGCAGAGCTACAGAGAGAAAGAAAAACAGAACTCTTCCATCCTCTGGGTTACTCCCCAGATGGCTACAAAAGCCAGGGCTGAGTCAGGTTGGAACCAGGAGCCTAGAACGCCATCTGGGGCTCCCACATGGGTGGCAGGTGCCCAAGGACTTGGGACATCTCCCTCTGCATTTCCAAGGGCGTTATCAGGAGGCCGGATCAGAAGTGCGGCAGCCAGGACTGGGCCGGTACTGCAGCACAACGGGTTAAGTTGTCGCCTGTGGTGCTGGCATCCCATATGATTCCCAGCTGTTCCACTTCCGACCCAGTTCCCTGCTTGTGGCCTGGGAAAAGCAGGGGAAGGTGGCCCAAGTGTTTGGGTCCTTGACACGTACATGGGAGATCCGGATGGAGCTCCCTGCTCCTGGCTTTGGTCTGGCCCAGCCCTGGCCATGGAAACTATTTGGGGAGTGAACCAGCAGGTTGTAACTCAGGTTTTCAAAGATAAATAGGAAGGGAGGGAGGAGGGAAGGAGGGAAGAGGGGAAGGGGAGAAGGGGGGAAGGAGAGGAGGGGGAAGGAAGAAAGAAAGAAAGAAAAGAAAAAAGAAGTGGAGCAACCAGGACTCGAACTCGTGCTCCAATACTGGATTCTGGCATTGCAGGCGGCAGCTTAACCAGCTGTGCCACCCTGCCAGGCCCAGAGTTTTTGCTGCTCCATCTTCATTATGAAAGAATAATTTTCCCCATTTGTTTGGATCAGGGATGTTCTTCTCCAAAAAGAGAAGGCACAATGTTTGGCACGTTCCACGCTGTGGTAGCGCCCCCCACAGGTCGTCCTGGCCATCTGCAGGCGTGACGTCCCGGGCGCGATTCCGAGTCCTGAGTGCGTTTGCTCTGCCTCTTTCAGAACCAGGAAAGAGCGGTGGCCTGCACGTGACGGCGGCGGAAGATGCGGAATGCCGCAGAACCAAGGAGCGTCCGTCTAACGGGAGCAGCCGGCAGTCCTCGTCCAAGTGTTCCCGCAACATCCCCAGGAGGCACACGCTAGGCGGGGCCCGGAGTTCCAGAGAAATCCTGGGAATGCAAACCTCAGAGATGGACAGGAAAAGAGAGGCCTTCCTGGAGCACCTGAAGCAGAAGTACCCGCACCACGCCACGGCCATCATGGGCCACCAGGAGAGGCTGCGAGACCAGGTAGGGGCGTGAGAGCGAGCCCAGCGCCCTTCCGCGGCCAGGGGACCATGGCTGGGGGCACCGTGCTTGCCTTGTGGTTCTTCCAGGTCTCTCGGCTGAGCTGGTGGAAATGTTCAACTCTAAAGATCGAGGCTTAAAAAAAAAAAAAATAAAACAGTACGACAAGAGAACAGGAGGCTGGACCACCAGGGAGGGTACAGGGTGGGGAGGGGTGTTCAACAGAGCGTTTTCCGAGGGGATGCACCTGCCGATTGACAGGTGCATCAGGGAGTGTGCAGAGGTAGACCCGGGTGGGCCACAGAGGGCCACAGCGCTGACCACAGAGGGCCCTTCTGCTCTTTGTCTTCCTCTCCCTTTCCATCACACAGGCGTTCTTCTCGGTGCCCTGCCTTCCGCCGTCTTCATCTGTCCGCTGATAACAGCCCCGGGCGGCCAGGATGTTTTTGTTTCTTGGTGGCACAGGGTCACGGGAGACGGGAGGCCTGCTCAGAGGTCCTCATCCTCCTGTTATCAGATAGACCTCTGAGGACGCGGAAGGCGGGGGAAGCAGCAGCGAGCAGTTTGCTGTGCAAATGCCGGGGAGGGAGGGAGCGAGGCCGTGCCAGCCCAGTGCTCTTCCTCTAAGCTCTGTTTTCTGTCTAAATAACGCAGCGTGGGGGACACCATGGAAGTGGAGACTGGCACTGGCCTCCGTAGTATGAATCTATCCTTGGTCCTTAGGCTCATCTCTCCTCTCTTAAATGCGGCCTTCTCTTTACCATGGGAAATATGTGTTTCATGGAGTTGATGCTTGCCTTTTGTTTACATGGACAGCTGGTGGTTGGACCCAACGGAGGAGGAGAGAACCAGGGATCATGGGTGATGGGAACGTGGGCTGAGGAGTCATTCTTTGGTAATTAATAAAGGGTTGCTTTCTTATCTTTGCCAGTATGGGTAGAAGATACCCTGTTTTTCTGTGGTGGTAGGATCGTTGTGCACTTCAGGCGGGCATCTGTGCTGCATCGTGTTGTGTCCAAAGCTGTTCAGTTGGAGAAGTTACAGCTGACACAGTCCGCTATGGACAAGTGGGGATTTGAACCTGGATTTGTCTGAACACTGCATCCTTGGTTGCTTCGCCCTCCCTGCCTGCTGTCCCTTCTCTGGGTGGTGTGAAATGAACAGATGCCATATTCTGTCTCTCTCTCTCTCTTTTTAAGATTTCTTTATTTTACTAGAAAGGCAGAGTTAACAGAGAAATGTGGGAGCCAGAGAGAGAGAGAGAGATCTTCCATCCACTGGTTCACTTCCCAGATGACTGCACTGATCTGGAGCCAGGAGCTTCTTCCAGTCTTCCACATGGGTGCAGGGGCCCAAGGACTTGGGCCGTCTTCTACTGCTATCCCAGGCCACAGCAGAGAGCTGGATCAGAAGAGGAACAGGCAGGACTCAAACCAGCGCCCACATGGGATGCCGGTGCTTTGGGCCAGGGTGTTAACCTGCTATTCCACAGCGCCGGCCCCTCACACACAAGTCTTTAAAAATATGTTATTCAAGAGTTTTTGTCTAGCTACTTTTTAAATGTTTTTTTATTTTTATTCATGCAAAAGGCAGAGCAAGACACACATAAACACATGCACACACACATAGATGCACACACACTCACATGTACACATCTTCCATCCACTGGTTCACTCCCCGAATAGCCTGCAACTGCCCGAGCTGGACCAGGCTACAGCCAGGAGCTCAGATCTCTGTCAAGGTCTCCCAGGTGGGGGGCAGGGACCCAACTCCTTGAACCAACACCTGTCGCCTGCCAGGGTGTGCCTTGTTAGGAAGCTGGATCAGAAGCAGAGCAGGGGCTCGAGCCCTGATCCTCTGGTGTGGGATCGAATTCAGATTCCTCTCTGTTTCCCATATGGACCTGGTTGGTACCTGCCTGGGTGGGGACAGGCGTTGTGAGAGATGCCAGCAACGCCAGTGGAAGCCGTAGGATTCTGTACTCTTTGTACAAGAATCCGGGGAGGCACAGCCCAGACGTGGCCGGCTGAGCGGCTCGTGGTCTTGTAATTCTTGTGCTGTCGCATCTAATCTTGTTGCTGCTAAGATCTATTGATGTATTTGGAAGGCAGAGTGACAGAGAGAAAGCTTTTCCCTCCATTGGTTCACTCCCCAGATGGCACCCATGGCCGGCCCGTAGCTGGGGGCCAGAAACTCCGTCTGGGTCTCCCATGTAGGTGCCAGGAGCCCGAGGATGCAGCCATCTGCTGCTGCTCTCCCGGGTGTATCAGCAGGTAGCTGGATCAGAAGCAGAGCAGCTGGGGAGAGAACTGGCGATGTGGGATGGTGCGCCGGCATCGCAGGCTGCAGCTTAGTCCACGGTGCCACCACGCCGGCCCCTGAGGCAGCTGCTCTTCCGGGTTACTGTGTGTGATGTCAGCTTCCTAGAATAGACTCTCAGAAGGCAGACCTCTTGTCTCAGCCTCAGCAGATCGGGGTTGAGAGTGATCGTGGTATCTGTCGATGAGGGGCTGATCCGCTGTCTGAACTGGAACGAGATACGCGGTGGGCAGTCGGAGATGGGGATGAGTCACTGCCGTGGGAGCAGCTACAGAGATCGAGGCTGACAAAGAGGGGAGGCGAAGTCGCTCTGCCCAGTTCTCGGCCAAGGCCACAAATCCCAGCGTCTGTGGCCTTCCCGGGCAAGGCCGACCTTGGTTCTCGTCTCATCGAGCTTTCTGACATCTGGCACTGGCAGGTGCGGGTCCCAGTGGATCAAGAGCAGAGGTGGAAGCGTGACTTCCGCTCACCCTAGCGCGGCCCAGGGCACGGGAAGCATCGTTGGGAATGTTCCCGTGTGTGTCTTACAACGTGGGAGACTTGTTTCTTTCTAGTAGCTCTGAGGTCAGAGAGGTGTGCGGTGCCCAGTGCCTCCCAGGCGTGGTCACTAGGTCCCTGTTCAGTCTGGAAACACTCACTCTCAGGTCCTCACTAACAAAGCAGAAACCAGCTGTCCATGTGGGTCTCAAAACACTCTTTTTTTAAAAAAAATATTTATTTGAAAGTCAGAGTTACACAGGCAGAAGGAGAAAGAGAGAGAGATCTTCCATCTGCTGGTTCACTCCCCAGATGGCTGCAACAGCTAGAGCTGGGCCAGGCCAAAGCCAGGAGCCAGGAGCTTCCCCCAGGTCTCCCACATGGGTGCAGGGGCCCAAGGACCTGGGCCATCTTCCTCTGCTTTCCCAGGCCACAGCAGAGAGCTGCATCAGTGGAGCAGCTGGGACTTCAACCGGTGCCCATAAGGGATGCTGGTGTCGCAGGCAGCAGCTTTACCCACTACGCCCCATAAACACTTTTAAAAGTTAACCGAGGCCGGCACCGCGGCTCACTAGGCTAATCCTCCGCCTTGCGGCGCCAGCACACCAGGTTCTAGTCCCCGTCGGGGCGCTGGATTCTGTCCCGGTTGCCCCTCTTCCAGGCCAGCTCTCTGCTGTGGCCAGGGAGGGCAGTGGAAGACGGCCCGAGTGCTTGGGCCCTGCACCCACATGGGAGACCAGGAGAAGCACCTGGCTCCTGGCTCCTGCCTTTGGATAGGCGCTGTGCGCCGGCCGCAGCGCGCCGGCCGCGGCGGCCATTGGAGGGTGAACCAACAGCAAAGGAAGACCTTTCTCTCTGTCTCTCTCTCTCACTGTCCACTCTGCCTGTCAAAAAAAAAAAAAAATAGTTAACCTAAGATTTATTTATTTGAAAGGCAGAGAGACAGAGGCAGACAGGGAGTGAATGGGAGCTCTTCCGGCCACTGGTTCACTCCCGGAATGCCCACAACAGCCAGGGCTGGGCCAGGCTGAAGCCAGGATTCAGAAACTCCATCCAGGTCTCCCATGTGGGCGGCAGGGGCCCAAGCGCTTGGGCCATCGTCTGCTGTCTCCTAGGAGCATTAGCAGGGAGCTGGATTGGAAGTGGAGGTGGGACTCGATCCTAGGTACTCTGGTACGGGATCCAGGGATCCCGGCCTGTGGTTGAGCCCGCTGGGCCACAACACCCAGCCCTGTGCAGTAAGCGGCTACAAGAAGTAAGGAGCTGGTAGGAGACGGAAGCCATACACACACCATCGGCCGGCACCTGATGTCTCGATTACACCACGCAACACACCTGTGCTCCGTTTGTGGTCTGACATGAAAACGTAAAGCTCTTTGCACACACACACCCTCTGTGGCTACCTGGGCAGCTCTCCAGAGAGGCTGTTATTTTCTTTTTTCTGTTTGAGAGGCAGACAAGAGGTTTTTCGACCTTCTGGTTTGCTCCCCAAATTCCCAGAACATCCAAGAACACCATCTGGGTCTCTCACGTGGGTGGCATGGACCCGAGTCCTTGAGCCGTCACCTGCCGCCCCCCGGAGTGCTCACCAGCAGGAGGCGGGAGCAGAGCTGAGGCTCAGATGCAGGTACCTCGGTCGGAGAAGGAAGCGTCCACGGCAGTTTAGGGCCAAATACCTGTCCCCGGACACGTGCTCCCGTAGATAAATAGACACATGAAAAGTTCACCCTTACAGCAAAGGAAACAGAGCCAGATAAGAGTTTCCTCTCTGGGGCTATTCATCTAACCCAGAGGGGATGATGACAAGAGCCACATGTAGTGGCCGACAGCCCTGAAACGTTTGAACTCACAACCGAGTGTGGGTTTGGATGTCCACTGCTTACCGAAATCTCCAAGGGCGAGCAGGCCTCCCAGAGTCTGCATCTGCAGGAAGCTGGAATTGGGACCGGAACCCAGGCACCCCCAGGATGGGATGTCGGGGCCACGCACTGGAACCCTCAGATCACGCCGTCCCTCTGTTGGCCGCCAGACTTCAAGGTGTGCTGAAACACAGGGGAAGTGAGCAAGGCCTGGCCTGGGGCCCAGTTTGTGCAGTGTTAGCACCGGTAGGGTTGGTGGTGACCTTGACATGGCTAGGGGGTCGGCCTCCTGGTTAGAGAAAGGAGCTGGGTACAAGGGGAGCAGCAGCATGAGTGGTAGTGAGTAGC